CTACAAATTTTTGAGTTATGAGCATTTTTAAATTGGCCAAAATCCGAAAAGTACCCTGTACTATTATAGCCCATGGTTTTTTAAAGTGGCTTCAAAATCACCACCAATTACTATTAAATTTTTTGATACATATTTACATCCTTATGTAGAAAGATTGAGCTGATTCTGACAATTGTATTTTAAGTTATTAGCATTTTTAAATTGACTAATTTTTAAAAAGCAAAGGCTCTGAATTTTGTCAAGTATATTTTAAGTATGCATGGACAAATTTTAATTACCAGTGTACATGTGATTGTGTACTCAATGCACATTTTAAATGTGAATGTACTTATTGATTGTTTATATTAGGTATACAGTGTCTCATCCAGGACTATCAGTTCAAGGACTCTCAGTTAATGATAGAGTTAAAGTGAGTAAGAAAGAGAGAGAGAGAAAGAGGAAAAGGGAGGGAAGGAGAGGGAGGGGAAATTTGCATGTATTTGTGTCTTTATTTTTATGTTTCTCTGTTTGTTTCATTCTCTTTTTTATAGCCCACAGCTTCAAACTTGTCAACATCATAACTAACTGTACATGTATGTGTCCAATAATATTATTTTCTATTATAATTATACACCTGGACCCACACAACTAAACATATTCATGTGTTATAAGGAACTAATAACTCCCTCCCTTGTTTCATTAAAAGAAGTTTGGAAGCACCAACACAATTACTGTGCTACTGTGTATAGTACATACCGTACAAGATGATTTATTGGCAAGGAATTAATATTGGCAATTAGCAGTTCTATGAAGAAATTGCCAATATAAAATCTGCCATTTTGTTTCAAAATTTCCAATATAAAATTTGCCAATTGACTTTTCAGAGGTAAATCTATCAAATATTACTCTTGCCAATAAAGCATCTTGTACGGTACCATGTACATGCACATGTACATATAAAAAAGTCTTTAGTGGTATAGTGCATTTACATGTACTTGTATTTGTATTTGTCTTATTTATACTCTCTTACACACACACAATGTAGATGTATGTGGCTGGTCATGTCTATAAACCATCAGTCCATGTTCAAACATTATATGATATGACCAAAAGTGCCTGTAAATACATGCGTAACATAATAATTTGTAAAGTTATACCTCTTGTGTTATGCCATATAAGCTGCCATTCTCATCATTAATGAATTCATAAACTTTGAGTGTATGTACAGTATTATGTGCATGCTTGTATGAATTAAGATATGGGATGGAACACATTACCTGTTAGTTAACTTAGTTATGAGTTAGCCTGTTTGATGAGAGGCAGGATGCAGTGGCTGCTAGATTTATAGCCCTGTATCCTAGCTTGTATTTAAATTAGTCATGTGCAATAAGAAAGCCAACTAGTTACTACTACCGTATAACGCTTTATTTTGGCGGCGCTTTATTTTGGCGATTTGCTGTAAAATTGTAATTGGCGGTTTTTAATTTGGCGATTTTTGTGTACATGTGAATTACTTAGCATGCGCATTAATGATTGGCAGTTTTAATATTGGCGGTTCTGCTTGCAAACCGCCAATCGCCAAAATAAAACTCCGCCAAATTAAAGCGTTATACGGTACATAATGTAAACATTATGCCCACATACTACAACCCAGAGAATAAAGAAGACACACATTGCCAGGTAGTTACAAGTTTTAAGACCACAGAGCCTGTTTGTTGTTTTATGCATAAATGAGAGGCAGAGTGCAGTTGCTGCGGGATTTATAGCACTGTATCCCAGCTTGTATTGAGATACTTCATTATAGTAGTTAGTCATGTGCAATAAGAAAGCCAACTAGTCACTATAATTTGGCTACTACATAAGTCTAGCCAAAATAATTATAGTGACTAGCTCAGTGTGAAGCCAATTTATAGTAACTAACTAGTTGATATCCAAGTTATAGTGACTAACTATATAGTTGATAGCCAAATTCTAGTTACCATTTGGCTTTCCTATTTGACATGAGTACTATGATATAGTAAAATGTGCAATGTGATATCCAACTGGTCACTATAACTTAAATATTGTGTATGGATGTTTACATGCATGCATATACAGAACAGGCTCTAAATCATATTTTAAAGAAGAAAGGAAGGCAATGCATTTTGCCCCTTTGAATTTCTATTACTTTATTGATCAGAATTGAATTTATTCATTCCTCTATGTTTCAAAGACTGGTTTACTTTGATAGTAAAGCATTCATCATAAGTTACAACAGGATTTCTGGTTGCAAACAATATAGGGTACATGCACTTTATGGGTAACCGTTATTTTTTTGCTGCCAAACAAGTACATGTATCATAATACAGTGAGACCTTTGATAATAACAAAAGCATCTATATTCATTGTATTAAATTAAGTCTCTATTAGAATTATTAAAGTAATAAAAACTTCATACAATG